CCGAACTGTTGAATGCGTTCAGGACATGCTTGAATGATATGTGCCGTTGCGTCGAACCTTAGCTGATTAAAAATTGGTGTGCGTGTATGTGGCATGTGTCAGATCGAAAATTTGTGCCCCGACGGCCACTCTTCCAAGTTTTTATTTCCAATTGTCTTGCTTACTACTGCTAAACGATAGCAGTAGGGCTGACCAGCGTGAAGTGCCACAGAACTGTAGAAGTTGCGGGCGGGAAAGTTACTAGGTTAGCACATTTGTCAGCCAGTCTTTCGCCTTGTCATTCGCACCATGCGGAATCCACTTATGCCTCATTAAGCACCGGTAGTCCTCCTCTTACCCAATGGACCGACGTATTTTTGACTTGTCCGACGTCCTAAAAATCAGGGCATGGAAGGTTTTCAACTGACTGGGGCAATTATACCACCAAAATACCAACCAGGTTTCAATAGATCTTTCTACGTTGCTTCTAGCGACCCACATCCTTCCGACGTCTCCTTATGAACGCAAATAAGTTACTTTCGGTAAGGATTCCTTTGTAAACTGCACCGTATTTTACAATAACTGACTAACTGCTTATTCCATTGAAATTTATCATTTATTTTAGGTGATTTATTAGTTCAATAATTTATTATTTAGTTTTATTATTATTTTTAGTCCAGTTTAGTTTTAGTTTACTTAGTTTGGTTTAGTTAGTTTAATTTAGTTAGTTTAGTTTTAGTTTTATCGGTAAATTACTTAGTTTTTTAAAACTTCCCTTCCGCCCTGGTATGCCTTACAGCCACCCCTACTAACACCGATCCCGTAAAACAAAAACTTGTTTCTTTTACTGTGGTGTTGTTTATAAGGACTCCTTATGGCGCACGTGAATGTGGGCTTTCTGCTAGGTTAATCAATGCACACTTACAAGGATGCACTTAAACGGACGGCGTGGTAGGTGCACGGTATCCACACGGGGGCTACGGCAGACGTACTTCGGAAATAGCAAATAGCAAATGCCGCCATGTGATGGGGGGGAGGTGTGTTGCACGCGTAGGTACAGGCTCGCACCGCGCGAACCACCTGCATCCAATCCCGCATCCGATTTTCGTGACTCTGTCTTGACACCAGGACCAGGTGAACGAGGGAAGGGAGAGTGCGGTAGATGCGTCGCTAGTCTACTACCACTTAAAAGTGCTTCTTGCGCTACCATGCTGCGGAACACACGGTGGACCCGTCCGACGGTTGAAGTATAGCATAAGGACGAGAAGAAAGTGATATTGATGTGGAGTTTTATTATTATCTAATAAACCTCCAACTCACTACTACTATCTAAGCAGTTAGGATAATGATCGTACATTACGACGCCTGGAAAATATCATAGTGTGGGTGAGCGTTGCTATCTGTGTGGCTTATTATTCCTACAGGCAAGCTGTACTGCTGTTTTGAACTCTTACGAGAGCGCAAAAAGGTTTATGACATACTTTAGGCGAAGATATTGCCTCAGTAGATGTCGAGTTCTTTAGTTTTGACTAAAACTTTCCAATGGTGTAGGATGAGGAGGAGGAGGAGGAGCGAAGCTGAGGGTGACCATGAGGTGAAATTTCCCAGCCAGCATTTCTGACGATATAACTCGATTCTCCGACAGACTCAGGGTCATACTAAGGTAGTATCTTGATATGCATTATTCCAACGCTCACTCCTACCTGTCTGCCCATTGGCACCATCTTCCCGGAAAGAGTAGGTGCTTCGAACGCGTCTTTCGGAAGATTTAACTCCTCTTAAGGAATCACTGCAGTTCCTAAACCTCCAAATGATGATATTTAAATCTGTTCTTAGGACAATACTTCTATATCTTCCAGAGACCTGGACAGTCTAAGTTGTCTTCTGAATACCCCGAAGACGCAATGGTGAAAAGAAAAGCGGGGACACACAGCCTTGTTGATAAGAAGTCCAGCACTCTAATCATCGAGCCACGGCCTCGTTTTCTTGCCGGGTTAGATAGGGAATATTTAAATTCGTCGATAAACGCTCACCGATCGTTATGGCTGGCTGATGATGGCAAATGAACCAGAAACGGCCACTAGAGTTTCCCTTATCTTTGCCGTCAGTGTTGACATGTTCAAAATACTAGCTTCTATGCGGCTGCTGGCAGGGCTTAAAATCGAGTCCCATGGCAGAATGGAACGACTGAATTTCGTTAGGGATCGCTGAGCATTCATCTCACCCTTCGATGGCCTTCTTGTTTGCATCCTTCACATTGTTATTCCTAAAATTAATAAAAAACCCTTCCATAATAGGTTACCTCTTTAAAAAGTGCTTTTATTGGATAGTTAGCTGACGAACTTCTGTGTATAGTAACTTTATCCAAGGTAATGTCACAGTGAAATTGGAGACTTTTGACAATTTCTTTAATTTACCTGAAGAAAATCGATTAAATTTTACTGGAGATGAAAGTGCATACTTTTCTCTTTATAACGGATTATTTTCCGCTTAAGGGGTTTAATTCCACGATCCTTAAAAAGCGTGCGAATGCAAAAAATACAGGCCACACATATGACCATTTTTTGAAATACTTATTATTCTTCTGTCTGTTCCGTTTCTAAATAACGCTTGGTGGAACGTATTGTTTACAAAAAACTAGATTTCGACATGACTGACATTCAATAAGGCCTTCTATAGGTTGTCTTCGCGGTAACATATAGAAAATTTGTTTACGCACAAGGCCAGCTGTGCGGTAAAAGAAAATTTTCTACCAAAAACCTTTTTGCTACTGCATTCTTTGCAAAAATACTTCACAGAATAGCTAAATATAATTTTTAAAACTTCTATCGCTGCTTATTTCTGAAAATAAATGCGATTCCTGAAACTTCGCTTCAGTTCCATTTGATCAACTTCGCACAAAATTTTCCAGTTCTGGAAGGGATTATTATTCCACCCTTTTTTTTTTACTAATTATGGAATTCTTCCACAGCACAGTGTATATTAGAAGGAAGTTTGGTTCTGTATTTCCTTGTAGCATAGGGAATTTCTTTAATATAAACTTACTCATGATTTAGC